GAACTTTATACACAAGTGCCAAGATACTATAATTATTTTAAACATCTGTTGTATTTTTGTTTTGGTAATTGACTGATAGTGCATTTTAGAGTAAAATGTGAGACAATTTTAGCTGTTGATAAGCTGATATTACATTGAATTAATAAAGAAAAAGTAATATTGGTGTTGCCCATTTAAAAGGTACATACAGGTATCTGTATGAGTGAAATGATTTTGGTATGTGTTAAAGAAATGGGAACTAAACCTGTTATGATTGGAGAAAGACTTACATGTTAGTGGTGGGAGGTTGTAATGAAACTAGAACATGCTCGTTGTAATATCTGACAACTAAACATTTTATTTTTCTGTGTTCATTACATTCAAAATATTTGAATATATAAAACTGAAACATGAGTTATGGTGAAGATAAATCCAATAAGTATTAGGTAAAGAAACTAATTTCTTTGATAGTGTAGCAACTCTCTCTTATGACTCATCTAAAGTATAATTTTCTTATGGCTTATTGGTTAGTTTTTCTGTCAGTACTCCATACTTATATTTAGATTTTCCTTGTTTTAACTCTATTAAGTCGAAGAAATTTGATTTTTAAAGTAGAATATTATTAACATTGTGTAAGTTCATTTGTGTTAGAAATTAATGAATGTCAGATTATAGTTATCATTAAATTTTTAACATTTTTAAAATGAAATATTCATAAGTTATATAAGACATAGAAAAGGGAAAACGTATTTCAACATTTTACCTTTCCTTTCTGTCCAGTGTACTGCAGCAGATGTATAGTCATTCTTTCCGAGTGTTTTTAGGTCATGCTGTCTACGTCTTACTACAACTAGCTCAGGAGGAGAAATTCCGTCATCTTCAGGTTATTGCTATAGAAACAATAAGTATCTTGGCCTCCTGTCATGTTGACAAAAAAAGTAAGATTTATGTGTGAGATATTAATAACTTGTAGTATTTCTACTGTTCAGCTATAAGTTGTGAAAAAGTATTTTGTTAGAGTCTGGTTAACAAAAGTATTGATTGGACAATCTGCTGGTGAAAATATATATACAGGATATTTAATGATATTAGATGTTTCATTAAATACTTTGTTTTTAATACCAACACGTTTTTAACTACAATTACGATTTGTTATTTATTATTGTAGAAGTGGCAGAGGTGACAGAGAAAGCAGGAGCCACATTTGCTGCCTTCTTACCTGGGATTTGTTTGTCTCTGAGTCGTATCCTCACTGGTGACCAAAAGCAAGGTCATGTAAGTTCCCTAAGAGGTTTGAACATTGTTTTAAATAAAAATTTCATGTTTACTTTTTTAAACCTTTTTCATAAATATAGTTTGCACAGGCCATGGAAATTCTGAAATGTTATAAAATTGTATAAATAGGTTGTTTTTTTTTGTTGAATTGGCAACGTAATCAGTAACAGGCTTTGAACTACATGTCTCCATCTGCAAGTAAACAGGATATTGCTAGTGTAAGGTAAGCTCAAGGCTCATTTGGAGAAATTTAAATTCATACAATTAGTAGTAGGATAAAGAAAAATGATATTTCAAAATTTTACTGATTCCATCTTCATCATTAACACTTCAAAAATAATTAACAATATTTCTAGCCTAAGTTCTTCATCAGTTTATATTGCCTAACAGTCATTAATAAAAAGAAAGACAGAAATGAAATTCAATATGGAAACCATGTAATGGGTGTCATAAACCTAATTGCTGTGCATGACTGATACACGTGACACATTCTTGACAACAAATAAGGTTATTCAGAACAATTATTGATTTAAATATTGTTTAAGTGTGAGTATGTGTTTTTGTGCAAGAAAACTTTCAGACTGACGCCACGTTCAAATATAAAGGTTTTATTGATCTATAGGATTTCCAGTTCTTTGTATGTTCTTTTTCAAGTGGAATTGTGGTGTTAAATTGGGAAAATGTTTAAAAATAATTGATTGCATTACATGACAAAACTACGTGATAACATAACATAATATTTTGGAACAACATGGGACCTATTGGTCCATCTTGGCTGTTCCATCCTCAAAACTAAATTAAAATGATTAAAAAAAAAATAATAATAATAAAATTTTAATCCCAACCCTTTTCATTCATATACTTATCAAGCTTTTTCTTAAAC